AGAAAGTTCATCACGATTTTCCGGCGTGGTTCCCCCTTGTCTGGAGGGCCAGATCTATATTTCGTTTCGTTTTGTTATTCTTTCGATTATATAACAACTCTTCCAGATGCCAGTGCAATCTGTTTCGTTTTTTATAGATCAAAATTTCGTTTTACTTGTCTTTACTGCACAAGGATCTGACGTCATGTCAGATGTGACGTCATTCTTTGATGTTGGCGTACCATTATTTAAAATTATTCATACTAGTTGAAATTTTGGGCCGCGTGACGTATTTCATTGCAAAGCGCGTACGAGTGTCTGTATTTTAAGCTGTTTAATGGTCTCGAGCTTAAGACATTGTGTAATATATTAAAACAACATCTCGTGACTACGTCCCTCGTGTTGTTTCAATACATTACTTAATGGACCTAGCTCACCAAATATTTCTACGCCGTCACCCCGAAAGTTATTTTTAGTCTTTCTCTCCCTTTTCCTTTTCCCCCTTTTGCATGGCGATTTTTGTTGACTTTTTGATGTAGAATTGAAGAAAAGGGTTTGAAAATATATATTCTCTCAGGCTGGGGTGAATATTCATGATTTTGAGGCGGAAGGATACAAGAGTTGAGAGGTTGGTTAGGTTGAAATGTAGGGTGAAAAATTGCATGTTTACGTGTCTCTACTTCCAGCCTGTGTATCTCAAGTTTTCCATGGTGAACCTCATACGTGATTTTGGCAAGAGGTTGCCACATGTTGCTCCATCTATGGTAGAAAGCGTTCTACCCAACGAAAATTTGGGAAAAATTCAAGCCGGTCTAAGAGACGAGAATTAACATTAAAGTCAATGGGGGAAAACATTAGTGATCTGTGGCCTAATGTCTCGCTCTCGACCATTAAACCACACATACCCTACAAAACAAGAGTTATGTCCCTTAGACTAGCCAAACGAAAAAATTATTGAAACCAAAGTTCTGTGTCTTCCTAAGTTACCGAGACTATTATGTTGTGAAACTGATGACTGCTACTCACTTCCCCAGGTCGATTGCTCATTCATTTGTACCGTCATACCGAAACGGCGTATGATTTCTAGCTGATTTCCTTAACAACTTGTCCATTTTTATCATTTCATCATTTTCATCACAGTATATGACATTTTTAGAGTTCTGTATGGTGGCTGTTAGCGGCCATTCAGATAAATCTAAATCGTCGCCTTGTGAAGAAGGCGACAAGTCGACAAGTCGGCGGGTTGATTTCGTCGACTTGTCGACTTGTCGCCTTCTTCACAAGGCGACGATTTAGATTCATTTGAATGGCCGCTAACAGCCACCATAGTTCTGGGCCCTTATTCACGAAAACTTAAACTAAGATAAAATCGAAATTTTATATGCAAAATTTTATTTTACTGGTCAGCCAATCGAATTGCAGTATTTCTTATAGATTTAGTATGATTATAGATTTAGTCCTAGTGTTCTTGAATAAGACATTTTATCTTAAGATAAAGTTACTATTAACAATAAATGCTATCACTTGTAAAGAAAGCAGGTCTAGGCTGAACTAGAAACATTACTGTATGTTTTGTTTACTAATGAAATCTGCATATTAAGTAACAGGGTGGCTCCTGTGGTCGGTGTAGCGATTTAGCGAGATTCCCACGGTCGTTGTAACGGTTTGCCTTGGCTCCCGTAGTCGGTGTAGCGATTTGGCTTGGCTCCTGCGGTGAGTGTAGCGGTTTAGCAATGCTCCCCACGGTCGTTATAGCGGTTTACCGGTGCACCCGTGGTCGGTGTAGCGGTTTACCTAGGCCCCCACGGTCGATTAAGCGGTTTACCGGTGCACCTGTGGTCGGTGTAGCGGTTTAACTAGGCTCCCACGGTCGGTTTAGCGGTTTACCGGGGCTCCCGGGGTCGGTGTAGCGGTTTGGCGTGGCTCCTGCGGTCAGTCTAGCGGTTTAGCGTGGCTCCCACGGTCGATGTAGCTGTTTAGCTTGGATTTTTTACATACGAGACTCCAGTGACGCTATATATCGGTTACATATCTATTTAACTTCCCGTTTTCTTATTTATATGGCAGCCGAGGATTGATTAATGTATTGTCTTTATGGACCACGCGGCTTTAGAGAAATTCTTTCTATATGACGTGACTAACATATGGTTCAATTTTATTTCAATAATTCGCTTGTTGGTAGAGGTCTTTGGCACTGGGAAGGTCTGCATAGGTCAGGGTGAATGATATGATGCAACGTTTGCCCAGATGTGTGTTCCTCGTCTGGACCTCTGCTCTGCACCATGGAAATATGGCGGTATATTAGATTCAAAATTCTAACGTGCTTTCGTCTAACTTCTAACTTCTGTTCATGTAATTTTTAACTTCTATTCATGTAATTTCTAACTTCTATTCATGTAATTTTTAAATTAAGACAATGTATAATCCAACTTCTTTATTTGTTCAGTGTAAATTTAGACTAGTGATCAGGCGACAGACTGCATCTGATCAGCTCTATTTATCTCTACAATCGGTGCCTGAATACTGTCAGACAGCATTTTCAACAGTCTATTTTTCAAAATTTTCTTGGGGAGGTCCATAATACCCCTCACAAGGACTCCCTACTTTGGCGCTCCCCTGGGGTTCGCAAGTCCGTTCGTTTGACACTTGACTTTGTTCTCTGGTCGGATCTATTTATCTCGACGATCGGTGACTGACTGAATACTGTCAGACAGCATTTCCGGCAGTCTATTTTTCAAAATTTTCTGCGGGAGGTCCTCCGTAAGGAGAGAGAGACAGTGAGAAATGGGTTTAACGTCCACTCGACACAAACTAGGTCATTTCGGGACTAACATATGGTTTAACCGGAGGACCCGGAGAAACCCACGAAGATGGACAGGCGACCCTACTCCTTGTCACGTACAACCGGGGATTCGAAACCACGCCAGCTGACTCAATGACAGGCCGTATGATACTCCCTACTTTGGCGCTCGTGAGTGGGTTTCGTCGAGGTTCGCAAGTCCGTTCAGTGCCTGAAATACTGCCAGGCTGCATTTACGACAGCCTGTTTTTCAAAAATTTGTGGGGGAGGCCCCCAACCCCTAGTTACAGCTCGTGCCTTTGCCCCCTTAACCTTGGACTTTGCCCCGGCTTTGCCCCTCAAACCACCGGCGGCACTGACAACGGCACGATGATCTACTCTTATTTCAAATTCAAATTGTCAAGGGTCTTTTATGTGCACACCAATGTGTAACTATTTTTCACAAGAACCCGGTGTTACAATCAGAATAAGTATTAATGTTTGTGATTTAAAATTTACTTTTGCCATTTTTCAGGCACTATTTGCATTGGTAAAACAGATATGTGACGGCGAAGACGTTGGTAAAGACCTATGGAAGAATCAGAGTGTGAAATCACACGGCAAATATATTAGATTTTGCAACAATTTGACATTTGTAATGCGATGCTGAGACAGTGCCATTATTCCCAATGGAATCCCTATAAGAGTTTCCACAGTGTAAGTTTAGTTGTAAATGGCCCCCTAATCAAAGGTGTTAAGTTTTAATTGTATTTGATTGTTATTTTGTTGCATATTCTGTATATATTTGCCTACTATTCACATATCTGTATCATTTACTTGATAAAGATGAGAGTATCCTCGTTGAAACGTGGCTAAGTATTAAATTCAATAATTGTATATCCATAAAACTGTACCTTTTGTTCAAAATAACGTTGTCAATAATTATTATTTCAATGTTCTCCGTGCAAACTGCACATGTCAGCAGTTCAAAATACCAATGTCACAGTGTTAAAATAGAGAATACACTTTTCAATAATACAAAATACCGTATAATAGTTATTTTGCACGTTATACTTTTCCATTTTGTATTTTGCATTATAGAGAAATGCATAATAGAGCTTAGCATTTTCCGAGGGAATGGCATGAACAGATGTCTACTCCTTCGGATGTACGTAAAAGATCCCTTGGCTGTTGGAATTCGATATAAGAGTAGGCGATAGTTCCACTGCCCGGACAAAATTTCCCTCACAGCACACTGTATGGCGTATACCCGTCTTCATTAGCCCTGTATAGGAGCAGCACAGCAGGACTTTACTCCCATTTAATTTAATGTCATTTCAGAGCTTACCATATTAGAACACATACCTTATATAGAATATACGACGAACATCATTTGCATACGGAAAAAAGTCCGGACTAGGACGGAAATTAATAATTTACGCGATCAATCTACAAGGGCAAGGTCAGTAGTTATCGGTCATGGTGATCAGTCTTCCCTCTAGTCTAATATCAAGGCCAGTTATTTCCGAATATATTTGCCAAAAAGGTCAATCGCAATTGAGAGTCTAGCGTGTAAGGGGGTAGGGTAGAGGGGGCGAAAAGGAATTCCATGGAGTCAAATGACACTCAAAAACGATACTTGTTGGGTACAAATGTGAAATCAGCACTATTTAAACTTTAATCCGGTAAGAAACATTCGGCCAACCCAAACCAGTCTAATTATGATTTATAGATGTTATACTTGGTACGTTTATTCATTAAAATCATTAAACGTGTAAGAAAATCTCGTTCTGTGCATGTGACGTCTACTTAATACTGTACTTGACTAACCTTGAATTTACTTGCGTCAAGAGACTCAACACATGTCATCTCGGGACTAACATCTTGTTTTATTTCTTTTCACAATTGTCGTGTTAATCATTAGCGGTGCACCGTAGACAAAACAGGAGGTAAGGCCTAGATAAGCATGTGACTGAAACCAGGACACTTGCATCGGTGGCAAACCTGATGATCTAAACTACACGCGGGGGGGGGGGGGCATCAATAAGCATGTGACTTAAACCAGGACACTTGCATCGGTAACAAACCTAACGGATTTGTCTACATATGTTACACTCGAGCCTGATTTCGTACAAAAAAACAAGACTCTATTGAAGACAAAGTGGTATATACGATATTTATTGGTTTGTTGTATTAATATCATAAACCAATTGTTATATTTCTGTAAAACTAGGAATTAATTCTGCTTGGTTAACACAACTGTTCTGGTGACATGTCCTTCAATCAAATAATACCATTAAATTCACAAACAATAATTTCTGGTTTTATCTTAAAATGACTATGGGTCTGAAAAATAAAAGAAAGATTAAGCTTCGGTTCGTTTTTGTCTCTTAGGAATATTTCAAATATCGAAAATGAAACCATTACTAGATCCGTGTACACGTCTCTAACGTTAAGAACATAATGTGATATCTCGCACACTGCCTGGCTGACTTACCTCTATAGACATAGGTGAGTTTAAAACCTATCGGGCACTGTCCATCCTCATTACTCACAAAACGTACTGTTGTTCCGTTACCTGTTGGTATTGTAATAGGTTCCGGTGCCACGCCTCCACAATATCTGTAATAAAACTCAGTATTGTGATGATGGAATATATAGATATGTGATTAAATTTAGTCACCAAATGATTTAGCAATATAGACTGGCTGGTGTCATTTCTTAATCCAAGTGGGGTATTATTCTTGGTTAAATAAGAATATGAATAGATCATTTTATAGACTATTATTATATTTGTCCTGTAATGTTTAAATGATGTATAACATATATAGGTTGAATTGAACTGGGGCATATAGCGAGAGATGGTGTCTTTACTAATATAGGCAGATGAAGGAAAGTGGGTTTAATATAAAGTAATTCTCCTACTTTGTTCCTTCTATCTCCACATAATCTTCCATACATTCGTTTCTAAGAATATCATCACAATTACCATCCGTAGTTTCAATACTAAACTCATCAGCAAACGTAAGGACAAGATCTTTCTCTGGAAAACCAGGTAGAGTGAACAATACCCTACTGGCGGCGGCGTAATTAATAGGTGGTATTATTATTGGTGGAACTTTAACATTAATAAATCATTTTATTAGATGATGGTATCAATATGTTAATATATATTATCAATAGGTTTTGTTAATATATATAGTATCAATACATTATGTCAATATATTAATCAATACATTATTTCAATACATAACATCATGGGATAACATCATGTTATTAAAATGTTTTCCATTCCTCTAACAATTACATATATAAGTATATATGAGTAACAGAAACATCACAGACAGATGCAGGTGGGGTGGGTATTGCCTTATAAGCATCACAAAGATCGATCAAAGTTCAATCCAAATGAATTAATTTTATCGAAATCGACCAATCCTGTGTTGATTTCTATTCGACTAGCATTGTTTAATCTCGGTAAAATCTATGTGAGCTTTGAACTTAAAACTTGAATTGTGAACCATTAAAGTCATTGGAAATATATTATATTGTTTTAACTCACATTCACAATTGGTTCCCTCAAAACCTGCCATACAATTACAGGTCTCTTGTGCACTAAACGTTCCTCCGTTTTTACAAGGATTTGAATCTGATACGGTGTCTATATAAAATATATAAAAGATTCCATGTTAATAGACACCAACAACTGATATTAACAATTTATGTAAAAGTTAAATGATAACATTATTATACAGGCAAGGGTAGTTATTTCTTAGCCTTCAGAACACAAATATTCAGTCACATCACGGTCTTTATTTTATTTAATTTAATTATTCTCTTATTTAGAATTAAGTTTCTGGTGGTACTTCTCAATAAAATAGCTTTCTTTTGCCTCCAATAGGTCGTTGTTTTTGTATACACACGAGAGAGAATTATATATCCTGTGTTATATTGGAACGTATAAGCACCGACGTTTCTATGTTGAACCAGAGGATAAGTTCAAGAATATACATGCAACGTCAATCTTATTCAAATAGTTTATACATGTGGAAAATCTCCAACCCATACAAAGGGATATCTATCACAACTCAATGTGAGGTCATTGATAACATTATAGTAACATTAGCCTGCTAGCGTACTCAAACAAAAGTACAAATGATAAATCATTTTTCTATTAACGTTTGGTTGATTTTATATTTAATCATTAAATACACAAAATGTTGATGTAATTAATTTTATTTAGTACTCACCTATATATTGATAGGTAAATCTGTAACCACGAGAACCTACGCTGTTGTCGGTAACAAAGCGTACTTGGGTACCAGTACCAGGTGAAAGCGTGATGTCCGCTGGAGTCGTAAAGCCAGAATATCTACACAAACAAAAAGTATTAAAATACAGGTGTCTTAAAGCGACAATAAGGCAGTATTAGAATCAACCACAAGACCATTTTCAAACAAATTCCGCCATGCTAGTACCTTTCTATCTCACCGAGTCCAAATTTGATATTTTGAATTCTTTGAAATTCAACCTATACGAATTGGGACAAGAATAGGACGTTAAACCCCAATTCATTTCATTTCTTTTTATGTATAAAAATGTCATATCGGATCTAGAAGCTTTGAGGGGGGGGGGGGTCGGTTCCAAATCTAGGGCAACATCCACAATCCCACCACACAATACTCGCTATAACAGTAAAATATAGATCGTATTGCCTATATAGTTGTGTTTGTCAATCGTTATCTGGCCGTTCGCAGCTTTAATCAGTTTGATATAAAGTTCATGTCATATTATGATTGTTAGTGCTTTGCTGACATTTTTTTTATTTTTTGTGAACCTTATGACGTTTATTTGGTAGCATGTGAGGGCGGGGGCTTAACCCTCCCCCCTTAAATCCGCTTATGAAGACCGGATTTTTGTTTAATGTTTTTAGTTAAATCTATACAACGAGTAGTTGGTGTTGTAGGTATATTTTGGAGAGGGGTGTATACGTACCGTGTGCCTTCAATCTCTAGGTAATCATTGGGAGCATGTAATTGAAAATCATCAATGAATGAAATGGTGATGCTTTTATCAGGAACTCCAGGTATAGGGGTTGTAACATTCAGATTGTTGCCATAGGTCTTTATTGTTGTAATGATTGACCTTGCTAGAATAAATATAAATACATTTATGTTAGTCTAAAACTGTTATCGATGCATTTAAATATAGAAGAAACCCGCTCATTCATCTTGCCGTTCGTTCGTCGTTCGTTTCTAGAGTTTTACGTCCACTTCCACCTGAGGTGATATCGTAGACAAGATCTTGCCGCGAACAACTAAACCTTTATTTCAGTACTATCATGTTACTTTAATAATCTGGTTGTATAGTAGGCCTTTTTTACCGGTGTCGGTCGTTAAGTAATTTATTTGTTCTAATTTAGCTTCAAAGCAATAAATTATTCGCGCCTCTTTCTCTTTTTATGTCGTTAAAATAACATAATACAAACCCGTATTTCGTTCAACAATCTCATATAATAGAAATATACAAATAATATTGTCAGCATTCATCAGGTGTAATCTAAGTTCTAACTAACCAGAGCAAGGACTCCTTGAAGGGAACTCATCTCTTCTAACACAACTACATGTGTATCCACCAGGTGCAAGGATTGGTACACAAAGTGTTGTGTCACGGGGACAGTCTGTTATTTCACATAAATTGACTGGAAGTAACAAGATACGAGATAAACATGATTTTATTTCACATAGACTTAATGGAAGTATCCCGATTCGTTAAACTGGCCATATACAACTGTATCCAATTTTACAATGACCAGATATTGACTCTAATTTCAAATAAAAACCATTTACCATCACAATTATCTCCAACGTAACCAGGGGTACATTTACAAATACCAGAGATACACTGGCTGTTATTGACACATGTGATATTCTCACACAGATCAACTGAAATAAAAAACAACATTTACGTTAAACAAGTGCACTACTTTCAACAGGAACCTATAGTAAAGTGTACAGACCATTACTCGTACTGATAGACATTTAAATTATGATCATATTTTAGAACTGATGATACAATATATATTTCACTATCACAATTACAAACCAATGAAGGGACGTGGTTGGATACCCTCACTTATTTCAAAACATATGAATTTTCTTTGCCACGAGATCGACAGTTAATTTGGCATGTTTTCTCCAGTGAATTCCGTAACCCTCATCACCCTTTAGAGTGCGTAGTTGTATATTTAATTAGTATTATTATTAAAAACATACCGGGTTCTAGCTTAGTTACACAATCTTCTCCACTAAACATTGGAGGGCAATCACATATACCATTGTTACATGTTGCATTGTTCAAACATCTGTTGTTACAAGAATCAACTAGAAATATACAATATACAATAGTTAACGTCTTGTGTAATTGTTTGTGTGTAGTGTGGTCGTCCTGCATTTACTATTAAGTGGCCATTTAATGGGGAAGGGTGCCCACAGTTAATACCGAAAATAACATCACCGTACTATCAATGTTTGTTGATTAATCATCTCTATACCACATCACATATAGGAATTTATCGTTGGAGTATATGGAGCTCGTGAGTATGTTCTCCTCTTTTTGCATGTTACCAAGATACCGGTGTATACGATGCCCGCCTTATACATTTGATAGCGAATTTATATAAACTATATTTGATATTATTACATATATGAGGTCACTTTTAATAAATATACTAATGTGACGGCACGTTTATTAAATATACTAATATGATGTATTTCAGCACTGTTAATTATCTATAATTTTACCGCCACAATCTGGTCCAGAATATCCACAGGTGCATTCACATATACCTCTCACACATTTACCACCGTTTAGACATTCAACCGATTCACAGGGGTCTGTAACATAAAATATATTCACAAATAATATTAATCACAGGGGCCTGAAACATAAAACATAATCGCACTATTCAATTAGATGTATTAATATTATAGGAATAAGGTAAAGTATTAGTCCAACGACAAACTGGTTTTCCTAATCCATTATACCCTTGTTGGCTTAGTGGTTTGTATGCAAGGTCATTTCCCCTGTCTTTATAACTGACAAACTATATTTACATCCCACTTCTACTCGTTGCCATTGGCAACCTTTGATAAAACTGTCCTGTTTAATTGCAATACATGCTTAAAAGTATCCGTGTATCAGAAATGTACAGAAAGAGTACTGTAACGTGAGGCTCAGAAAGGGATAAATAATGAAAGAACAGAAAGTATGTGTCACTTTTCGGTTGAAACGACTCAATAATAAATACTATTTTTCACATTTTGCTTCACAATACCCGATAGAAATGTGATGTAAGTAACTTATTAGCACCTTTCCTCGGTGTATCGGTGAATATCAGGACAGTTTTGGTCGGGAGCCGCCTCGGCTCCGCCTCGGCTGGGCCCCTCGACCAAAACTGTCCTGATATTCACCGATACACCTCGGAAAGTGTGCTAATAACTACTACATACAGTACATATCAGTGTTAATAATACATATAAATTATTATTTGGGATTCTATGTAATGTTTTGAATTCTTGCCATAATCTTAATGTGAAACATTAAATTAATTTATGTCCATGTACAATATTAAACTAGTTGCCTTTCTCTATATAATGCATAATTATATGAAAATTTCTTAATCGCTCATACATCAAGTGTAATTGTTCCGTTTGATTCTATTTCTTTTTTATAAACATGAATTCTTAAACAAAGTTTTCATTTATAGTTTGATAATAATGATTAATGTGAAATAATGTATCTTCTAGGTATATCTTAAATAACTTTACAATTTCTATTCAACAAACGGTTTATTCATCATTCTATTTCTATATTGCCGTCACTCTGTACTTCACAATTTTTATCAGATTTCGACGAAAGTACAATAGGTCTATATCTCCCAAAGATCTCGGTTCCTTTAGAAACTGGCATGTATCGGACCGTAACTTCCTGGATTCTAGTCCCTAATTTTACGACAAATCAAGTTTTCAGATTGTGGACACTATAGAGGTCAGAATTTCCATCGGATTTTGACTAAACTTTAAATGTATGTTTATAACCGAACCATTATCAAATGCAATCAGAACCTAACATTTAGAAATTTGACATGTTTGTAGTGATACGCGTTTTTGTGAAGATAAAATTACACAATATTAACGTTATCCTATTATATCGAAACAGTTGGTCATTTTGTTGATCGGAAATCTCGATGGTTTGTAAAACTTAAGAGAATTATTTTCAAATGGTTATTACAAAAATGTTTATTATAAAAACAGGTTTATTATAATAAATTACAAAGTAAGTGGATGCTACATAAATGGTTGCCACAAAAGTGTATATGATTTTTCCGTAGATTATAAAGTTATACAACGCGTATTTAGCTAAGCGCTGCCCTGGTTAAGTTTTGTCGAATATATTTTATTACATTGGTGCTGCCCTGGGTAATTTGTAATCAAAGATAAACAACAAGCATGTTTTTAAAAGGCCGTCGGGATTTTTAATCGATTTCAAAAAGGATGCAATTACTTTCTTGAATTTTAATATTTACAAATTGCTGCTTAACAAACAAAAACATAAAAAAACCAAAGAAATGCATTAAGTACACCTATTCCTATTGCTGTGTATATTTCAATGAGAAATTTAATACTTTATTCCCGGCCGATAAGGGGTTTAGTGAACCTCCAGGTAGCAATTACTGATGAAAATGGTGACATTTGTCAAATCAAACAATAAAAATTCAAATACTTTTAATAAACTTAAAAAAAAAAGTATCTCACCCTTGCAGCAAGAATGGCACAAATTTGCCTCTTTAACCTTTCGGCAGCTTACACCCTTTAGATGTTGCCCTGGTGCAGTCCACCGCTTCCCGTGACCAGAAACAGATACAACGATCGCAAAGATACCAACAAGCCATAAAACGTACATTGTTATTTATCTTAACTTGTAATAAGTTAAATAAAACGACTGTATAGAGTAGTGAGAGAAGTGTTGGTATTTTATACATAAACAGTTGGTAACATATTGTCTCCAATATTTTATTAAAAGTAAAATACATGTTTTTTTCACAGTTTTTGTCGTGTAGTTTTGTGTTATATCAAATCCATGCGCGTCACCTACTTAAATAAACATGTTCGGTTTTGAATTTATTTTCATATAAAAAATTCCGCTTGGCATTCTGCCAAAAATACTTGTTATTTTTCAAATTGTATCACGTAGTTTCATTCCAGCTTTAAAACACCAAACTGCCTAATAACAGTAGGACTTACACCTTACTAGATTTAAGTATCTCACTACGACATTCATAAAAATAAATTTGAATCTCTTTGTATTAGTGGGGTTGGATGGCTGAATGGTTAGCGTGTGCGCGCTGTATCATAAAGTCTGTCATTGAGTCGACTGGCGTGGTTTCGAATCCCCGGTTGTACGTGATAAGGAGTAAGGTCGCCTGTCCAACCTCGTGGGTTTTCTCCGGGTCCTCCGGTTTCCTACCACTGCTAAAGACCCCTACGCGCAAGCGAATTATTGAAATAAAATTAAACCATATGTTAGTCACGAAATGACCTAGTTTGTGTCGAGTAAACGTTAAACCCCATTTCTCTCTCTCTCTCTCTCTCTCTCTTTCTCTCTTTGTATTAGGGTTTCCCCAACATCTTTATTTGATTGATAGAATGGAATGTTAAACACACATCACTACGTGTCGACAAGTACACTTTCCCGAGCGATCCCACTTCTTGTCAATTACACGTGAAATATCGACACCAAGCTGCATGGTTCAATGCCAGACATTCACATTTGAAACATTTTAACCACACGCCACACCCCTACACGTGGAAATATACTTTGAGATAAATTGTTGTAAAGAATATGTACGAAACAAAAGCGCCGCTGTATTAGTCAGTGCAGTGGACCTCAAGAGTATCGAGGCAACATCTCACTCTTTGAATCACCGCGGCTCCACTCAGATAAAAATATGGATACTAAAATGTAAAGTAATATTAAGTGCAGGGAAACTGCACCACACACAAACAGTTAAACATGATAAACCTACGGACATATATACAGACATCGCAAACAACAAATGCACAAGTGAATGGGGGTTTCGGGGGCCAGCCGTAAGCGGCCACCCGATTTGACTGCATTTGATGTTCCCATTTAATAGACCTTTATTGGACGATTTTTAAGCGTAGTCTACGTGTAGTGACGAATCCAGGATTCCAAGTGGGGGTTCTGGGGCCTAACCTCCTCATCCTCCATTTCCGCATATAACAGACAAAATCAAAAAGTTAATATATACTATTAAAAAAAAGTAGGGGATATTTGATTTTGGGGGCATAATACTAAAATATGCAAATGACTATGAAAAAAGTCACTATAGAACCTAACAGAAGAAACATTTCCAGTTACATGTGACGCCCAAACGCACCAATAGCTACCGCATGGAATGCAGGTGATGCTTGGGATCATCATGGGGGTCCAACCCAAGATTTGCACGACTCTGACTTTGAATGTTACAGTCATTGTGGCATTGAATTCCAGGGTGGAAACATCAGTTTAATTGTTTTAGTGACCAGAAAACAAATTTTGATATGCGTCGGCTTACCCAAAATGAAAGGTTACGTGCCCTTGGCATGCTACAGATCGGCACAACACAGGCGGTTGTGGCGCGGACGATGAATGTTTCTCAGTCTGTCATAAGCAGGCTATGGTCCAGATACCGTGATACACAATCTGTACAGGACAGACCACGCTCAGTTCGACCAAGGGCGACAACTCAAGCCCAGGATCGATTTATCCGTACCTTGGCCTTGAGAAATCGTGTCATCACAGCAAATCAGATCAGCGCTCGTCTTCAAACAGACACTGGTGTGAGAGTGAGTGGCCAGACGATTCGGAATCGACTGCATAGGGGTCACCTTCGCGCCCGACGTCCTCGCGTGATCCCTTGTTTGAGAGATCATCACATTCAGGCAAGACGTCGTTGGTGTAGGGATCGTCAACACTGGGATAATCGACGCTGGAGCAATGTGATGTTTTCAGATGAGTCAAGGTTCACTGTTGATTTTTTGGACAGACGTAGGAGGGTGTGGCGTCGTCGAAACGAGCGCTTCCAAGACGTTAACGTCATCAGACATGATCGATTTGGGGGTGGTTCTCTTAAGGTGTGGGGAGGCATCACTGTTGCTGGAAGAACGGCTTTACATGTTGTTGCAGGGCGTGTTACATTACAGGCCAGTACTACCGGGACAACATCTTGGCAGTCCATGTTGTGCCGTTCGCACGACGTCATGGCCGCCGTTTCATCTTCCAGGATGACAACGCAAGATGTCACAGGGCCAGGATCGTTACAGGTTACCTCCAACAACAGAACATCACCACATTACCTTGGCCAGCACTGAGTCCCGACCTCTCCCCCATCGAGCATGTCTGGGACATGCTTGGACAGAGGTTACGTCAACGTCAACAACGTCCTGCCAATGTCCAAGAACTTGCTGCTGCGTTGCAACAGGAATGGGACAATCTGGACCAAAATGACCTTAGACGTCTCATTAGGAGTATGCCACGTCGGATCAATGCTTGTTTGGCAAACAGAGGAGGATTTACCCGTTACTGACTTGGTTGTGATGCTGTGGTAACTTTGCTGTTTGACCCCGGGTATCATTTCACCCTTATAATGGTCAGTCTGTGCCTTACTTAGTCTAACGATCATTTGGAATAAATCGATGAATGTGAACTTCATTTCATTTTGTCATTTGTTTCTTCGTCAGTTTCATTAGGTGACTTTAATAACACTTAAAAATCAAATATCCCCTACTTTTTTTGAATAGTATATTATTCTGTTTTTATGAAACGTGTAAATTTGAGCTATTGTGTTGGTTGGGTTGGTGAATGATATATGACGTGTAAATCTTTAGATTTAAATCTATAATGTATTGATTTACATAATAAATATAGATTGATCGGCTACTTTGTGTACACGTAGCTTGCAACACGTTGTTTGAACGACAGTCGTCATTTTTCAACTGATGTTTTTGCTTTAGTCCTCGCACTAGATAAATATATTTGTATTAAGTTCATTATTGAGATTACCGATCTTGGTTTGTTTGGCTTAGATATTGTTTGAGAAATATACTGCCAAGTCGACCTACTATCTTCTCCGTTCATGAAGCGAATTATTGAAATAAAATTATCTCATTTTTTAGTCTCGAATGCCCTGGTTTATGTCGACTAGACGTTAAACACCGTTAAACCCTCTCTCTCACTCTCTCTCTCTCGCTCTTTCCCTCTCTCATGGTTTTGGTTTACTTAATGAAATAAAATGAAATGGGGTTTAACATCCTACTGTTCTGCTCCTATACTGGGCTAATGAAGACGGGCATACGCCATACAGTGTGCTATGAGGGAAATTTTGCCCGGACAGCGGCACTACGGCCTACTCTTATATCGAATTCCAACTGCCAAAGGATCTTTGACGTGCACGCCAATGTGTACACGGGACCTCGGTTTTTCGTCACATCCGAACGACTAGACAGCTGTTCTTGTCAGGCCCTCTTTCCTGCATCACTGACAAGGGGGAACCACACCAGAAAATCTAGATGAACTTTCTCGGCCAATGCAGAGATCGAACACCCGACCTTCAGACTAGCGAGCCAGCGTCTTACCCACTTAGCCACCGTGACCCCCCCACCCCCGTCCAGGGTTTACTTAATGATATAGTTTGTAAAAATATATCCAATGAAAGTATTAGGGAGTCACGTTGTTGGCAGAGACAGTTCCCGCATTATGTTCAAGATTTGCCTCCTCATCCTTATCAGTGATGCAGACAGACATGAAGGTTTGGCTATGAATGGTGTCTAGTCGTTCTAAAAGGACAAAAATCCAGACCCGATGTTTACCACTGATACCATGTCATAGATCCCCGTGATAGGCTGTGTAGCCGCTATTCCGACAATGGTTATCGTTATAGCCATAGTTCGTGGCATTAAGCCCGGCCTACTTATGTTTTAGTCTAAGTAACCACATGAATGTAAGCACTTTTAACTTTCTATTACACGTTTATCGAGTTCGATCATCCCAAAGATGCTGGTTCTACAGTTTAGTAAGGGTAGGGATTTTACTTGCAATGGACAAGAATATATATCACTGGATGTTGAGGGGTTTTTACATAGACTCTGCATGTTTCCAAATCCCATTCAGACATCCTAAATAAAATAAAAATATTGTAAAAAAAAAGAAAGAAAACTCAATAGTCTTTATAAGAAAAATGAATATACAGGTCACAATTCTATGGAATACAATTACTGCTTTTTACTGAGCGACGTTTCGACTAGGCTTCTCTAGTCATTATCAAGCTATGATAAAAAATGAAAATATGACAGGACAATATATACATGTACACCACAATGCTAAGTTAATGATGACAAACCAGGGATGTAACTTAATTACGTGTACCTAATGGTAATCTGATTTAATTGTACGCTAATAAGTAATAATACCAATTAACCTAAAAAATTGACTAATTGATTAATGGATAAGTTGTTGTGGAGTATACACAATGATTAGTGGGTTTTAATAATACAAACGTTGCAAGAAAATGAAAATTGATGAAATGTTATCAACGACCCCTTTCACTGAAATAAATACAAATGGTAAAAGAATAGATTGTTGTGGAGTATTTACAACGATTTGATGAGGTTTTGATAATGACAACATCCCACGAAGATGAGATTTGATTTGTGTTATGACCAAAATAATTGACATGTGGATGTTGATGCGAGTGATTACACTGATATACGAAAATCCCTTAGAACAATGACTGCACAAATGATCAATAGTCCCCTGAAGGCTGACAATTTAAAATATTGAGTGGTACTTCACTGGATGTTATGGTGATGTAGAAAAGCAGGGTTAGAAATATTGAGTGCATTAAATTACAATAACCGCAGGCCTGAAAAGCAGAAAT